AACTAATATATCTTATAGTGCTTTTTAGATCTTTAAGCACTCTTCAGCAACTTCCAGCACTATCGTTATTCGTGTCACATATCGGTCTTCGTGTATCGATGTGGTTAACCGGATGAATATCGATACAACATTGACACGTGATTCAATTGTTACTCGAATGTCTTATCGGGATTTTATACGACTTCCGATTGTAACAATACCATTATATTTACAATTCTTTTTTTTTTTTTTTTAATTACTGAATCTTGATTTAAAAATTACCTTTTAATGTATTACATAAAAAGTTTACCATTTTATTAAAATTAAAATATTAAGAAATTATAAGAAATTGTAAAAGTTTATATAAAGTTTTGTGTGAATAATAAGTATAACATGCCAAAAAATGCCTCTAACTAAAGCCATTTGTACAAACTTTTTTGATTATCAGTTATATAATATTTTAATTATTAATCTTAATTTTTATTATTTTTAATTATTTAATTTATTTTTAATTATTTAATTTTTTTTTAATCGTTTATTGACAGTTTGCTTGCTTTCTCTATTCCATTGGTAGTCAATCTCATAATGGCGTTCGGAATAATAACAGTACAAAACTGCATACATAACAATAAAAAGTTCAAACTATGGTTCAGGAACCATAGTTGTTTTGCTGTTTTAATGACAATTTTATCAGCCACAGATATTCATTTTTTACGATTAATGTGCTCTGATTTTGCTGATGCCCAACTGTTTAAGTGCAAATTTTCTAGTTCCGCATTAAAAACTATTGTTATTGTCGGACTTATTAATTTGATCATTGAAGATATTCCTCAATTCATTATTCAGGTATTATGTATATCTGCATCTATTTATCAGTTTATTTTTAATTAAAGTTTTGATTCATTTTGTTTTTTAATTATAAATTTTTAGATATTATATAAAGCTAATACAACTGGATTTTCTGTCATACCATTTATAAGCTTAGTATTAAGTTCCTTGGTTTTACTGTCCACTATAATCAGTCGACTCTATGACATTTTAATTCAGTTCACTCATGATGAAATTAATGATAATAAACATCCTGGCAATGCTTTGCAATCAATCCCGGACTCTGTACAAACCGTGAATATTCAAAATATTTTTTACGATAAACCACCGAATCCTTCTTCTATACAAAACCCTAATCGTTATATCGAATATTAAAAAAGTTTGTACAAATGGCTTTAGTTAGAGGCATTTTTTGGCATGTTATACTT